TCTCAGATGCTCTACAGCTGCATCCCATCCATCTCACAAACCACATCCTCTATGCCCCCAGCGCTGCCAAGAAGCTCCCAGCACAGCTCAGTAGGTCAGGGCGCACATGGTGGAAGGGTACCACCAGTCATATACATGCCTGCACCACAGAGACTGTGTGTGGAGACCCCCCTGCCCCTGGTTATGGGGCAGGTCCCAGTGTCAGACAGGGTGGGAGCCTGCAGCATGTGCATGTATGTGCCCATATATACACATGCACAGCCTGAAGGCTTTTCCACAGGGATCCCACTAATCTCAAAACCTCCTTTCAAAGGGGCTCCAAGGTAGACTTCTCCCTCCCAGGGAGCTGTAGGAACCTAGAAGACTCAGGTGATCAAGTGCAAACGGGTGTAAAATGACTGGCAAGTGTAATCCTGGGCTTAGTCTTGTTGCACATTGGGGGGAAGCCTCCTAGATTATGATCCCACAAACCCCTGCTCCACGCACCCAGCTGCATCATTTGTACAGGCAGTGACATGCCTCTGTTCCCATGTTCTGCACAAACGGCAGACCCTCTGCATGGGCAGACTCCCACTGGGCCTGCACACACGACACGTAGCTTGCACTGGGAGCACAGGCACAAGCGTAGGAGACCTTGTCTTTGAGGGAGGTGCAAGTCTTTGGGGAAACTGGGTCCCTGAGGCACCGGTGAGCAATGTGCCCTACGGACAGAGTGCTGTGTGAATCAAACATTGGTAGAAAAAGTGTGCTCAGGTCTCCAGAGTCTCTGTGGCCAGATTCCCAAGGCCATTACTACCTGGTGCCCTCAGGACACTATGTGGCTCCACGCCAGCTGCCTCCCCAATTGCTCTTTGGGTAGGTCAGCTAGCAACACCCATGCTAAGTAGCCAGCCCTCAGCACCATGGGGACAGGGCTATATTGTTTCCAGTGCAAGTGGCAGGCTGCCCAGAGTCTTGTCAGCGGGGCCTTCAGCCTCAGTAAAATCACTGTGCTGACAGCCTGCTGCTCACAGCCGATGGACACAGTTGATCACTGCTCCTTCTCCCAAACACCGGGGACAGGGGGAGCCCCCACAAAGGGCTTAGCTCTGTTTTTGGAGCAGGGAGCAACTCTGGACAGGTCGGGGGCCCTAGCTAGGCAGTCCCTACCTGGTCTAGTGGCAGTGGAGAGGGTCTGGATGGGCGAAGCTGGCAGGGGTAGCTCCATGCTGGCATCAGTTCCAGGCTGGAAAATAAAATATGTATCACATGAATACAGGAGATTCACACTCAACCACCAGCTGGCAGCAGGGAAAACCTCCCCACAACTGCTTGCCAAGTTCAACACCAGCCCAGTCCAACCCTGCCGGGCTGCTCTCTGCTCTGCTAGCACGTGGCTGCGTCTCAGAAGCAACGAGTCTGTGCACCACCGGCAGCACAGCCAATACTCAAGACCTCCCTGTCAGCATCAGGGTTTGGCTGGGGCTGGAGCCAGTCCGGCCACAGCAAAAAATGTGCCAGCGCTCTTGGGAATTCCAGCCTATCTGATTGGCTGCCTGCCCCTCTTGCCCGCCTCCTAGGAAACAGCAGCCAATCAGAGCTGTTGCAGGAAGGAGACCCCGCACCCCTCCCTCCCCTCCACACTAAGCAGTCACCTAGGTCTGATAGGTGGGGAGACCTGCGCTCCCCCTCCAGCCCTTGTGAGGAACAGAGATGCACCCCCTCCTCCCCCTGGCTGTGTAGGGGGAGAAGGAGACCTTGTTGCAGGGTCCCTGGAAGAGACAGATGAAAAATCCCAGAAGCTACAAGAAGAGCAGAAGTGCTGAGAGGGCAGAATTGATGCAAGAGCAAATTATAAACCAGACAATTTGTAGCCTGGCCACCCCAGGGAGAAGGGGTGATCCCCAGCAGCCAATATGGCCTTAAGAACAAATCATGCCAAGGCAACTGGATCTTCTTTGCCAAGGTAGCTAGTTGGGTGGATGATGGGATGTAATACCTTTGGATTTAGTAGGGCTCTGCATACTGCTCTGTGTGACTAAGTCAACTGGGAAAATGGGGCTGGAGACAGTAACCATTAGGCAGATGCAATGTAACTGGCTGTATAAGCTCAAGCAGAGAGAAACAATAACTGCCAGAATGGCAGGAGGTTTCTAGTGGGGTTCCCCAGGGGTCTGCTCGGAGTCCAGTGCTGCTTTATATCTGTATTGATTATCTGGAGGCTGGAAAAGACAGCTCTCTGATCAAGCTTGCAGATGACACAGGACTCGGAGGGCCTGCAAATGCTTTGGGAGAGAGGATTAGAAATCAAAAGGATCTTGATACATTGGAGAACTGGGCGAGAGGCAGCACCGTGGATTCAGCACAGACAGATGTGAGGTGGTGCCTCTAGGGAAGCAGCAGCAAATGCACAGATACAGGTGGTGAGCTACCTGGCAGGGCAGTAGCATTGCTGAGAAGGATCTGGGGGCTTTGGTAGATCACAGACTCAACAGGAGTTGGCAAGATGATGCCACAACACAAAAAGTGCATGGTTTTGGGCTGTACTGTTTGTAAAACATGGGCAGTGACTGTACCATTCTGCTCAGTGCTAGTTAGGCCTTAGCTGGAGTTGTATGTGCAGTGCTGAGCTCCACACTTTAGGAAGGACGTAGAGAAAATGGAGAGGACCCAGAGGCGACCAACACAGATGATAGAGGGGATGGAGAGAAAAGTTGTACAGGGAAAGGCTGAGAGAACTAGTTGTGTTTAGTTTGGAGAACAGGAGAATGAGGGGAGACAATAGAGCAGTTTCTAAATATTTGAAAGGCTGCCATAAAGGAGTGCGAGAACAACTGTTTTCTCTCATGGCAGAGGGCAGGACATAAAGCAATCGATTTAAATTGTGGCAAAGCAGATTTGGATTCAATCTCAGGGAGAAAAAAAACTTCCTTACTGTCAGAATGGGGAGCTGAGGATTCTCCTTCACTGGGCAGGATTTTCAAGAACAGGCTGGAGCAGCATTGGTTGAGGTAGCTTAGCAGTAGCATATTCTGCATCTCCAAGGGGTTGGACCAATGACCTTAGAGGTCCCTTCTGCCCCTATGACTCTATGAGCAGGAGCTATATTAATGAGGTGGTGGAGATGGGAAGAGCTGATGCGTGAGGAGACAGGGTTGGTTTGAAGGTCAGGGGCAATACTGACTGCTGGGCAGATGTGAGAGCAGGAGCTCCTACAACACCGCAGGGCCAAAACTTCCTTCCACACTGCCCTTAGGAGCATATGGCATTATACAGACTGCTCCTCACATACACTGGGTGGGGCAGAGGGTTTCACAGAGCAGAGGCAAACCAGAGAGCACAATGATTAACACAGTCCTCATGATTTGGGGCTTGGCACCTGATTTTTGAGCTTTCAGTGCTGGCCATACTGAGTGCACCAGGCAGTTCAAAGCAACTTGGCAAGAGTCACACAAGGAGTCAAGGCCTCAGTTCCCAAGAGGAGCCAAGGGGAGTGATGGGATCACGTCTCCCTCCAAGGGCTGCAGCCAGTATAGCCCATATTAGGTCAAAGGCCAACCCCAGGCTAGTGGCCCATGGGACTACTGGTTGAGGCACATTTCTGTAGCTAACAGCACATGAGGCTAGGGTAGTGCTAGGCTGCCTTTCTACCCAAACCATCACTTACCCATTTACCACTTGGCTGCCAGGGACTGGCCATTGATACAAGTCCAGAATAGGGTTCAAACTCATGCAAGAGCAGCAAGACACATTAACCCCTCTGCCACTGCGCCCTTACAAAGGAGGTACCAGCCTGCTGTCCACTGAGTCACAGGAGCTACCCCTGGAGTCAAGGGATGGGGAGCATGCACCTTCAGCTTGGCCCTTACCCCTGCTAGGGTCTCATGGTATGTTATCAGAGCCCTTTGGCCACAGCAGCAGGCAGTTTTCTGATTAACCAGTTACCAGTATGGCCTCCTTTGGGTGGGAGAAGAGCTTTGCTCCTTCAGTCTATTGGATACATCTCCTTCACCCAACTTCAGGCACCGGCCTCTTTCCTCCTCCTTCGTATGGCAGGGGCGGGCAATTATTTCATGAAGAAGGGTGCTTACTGAGTTTTGGCAAGCCATCAAGGGCCACATGGCAGGCAGCCCGGGCTAGGTAAATATTAATTTTCTAAATTTTTTAGGGGACCCGCTGGATAGAACGGCCTGGCGGGCCATCTTTTGCCCAGCCCTGTCCTATGGGATTTCAATGATATGTGTTCCCTTGCCCTGCCATGCTCCCTCTGCAACACTGCGAGGACAACCGTAGCCATATACAATGCTTTTTGTCCCTGCAGCTTGTGGAGCTCTCCACAGAGGACCAGGGAAGCTGCAAGGTGGGGTAGGGCAGGGCAGAGCATCAGGAGGTTAAGGGGCTACTGAGTGTGATGGAGAAGGTTTGAACTGAGTGGTACTGTACTTAACTTGGGAAGGGCATATCTGATAAATGACGTCATGGGGCTGCATGTAGGGCGACGGAGGAGCCAACTGGCACAGCCCTGGTTAGAGAAGCAGACTTCAGCCTACACTTGGTCCTGGTGCAGAGGGAGGAAGCATCCTCCTGAGCCGCTCGTGCTGCATCCATTCTAAGAAGTCTCCCATGGAAAGCGGCAGCCAGGCCCACCCCGCCTCAGTGGAGGAAATCAAAGCAGCAGCACAGCCCAGGATGCCAGCAGGGGTCCCTGCCACGTGACCCCACAGCTGTCCAGCTCCAAGGCTCAAAAGGCCTCGGAGCATCTGGAAGGTCGCTCAGCACCCAGAGCAGGACGGCACCAGAGCTCGCCCGTCTCCCTCGGATGCCTGGGCAGCTCCGGGAGGCCTGCTCAGTGCAAGCTGTGAGCAGAGCCCTCCCCCTTGGGGCTCTGAACTGCCCCCACCCAGGGGCTGGAAACCTGGGGTGGGCTCTCCTGGGCCTCACCACGGAGCAGCCACTGAGCTCACGGCACTGGCATCCCGCATGCTGCGTACGGTTGCCATGGTTTCGCTGCACTACTTCTCTCCTCCAAGGAGCAGCGCGTGCGGGGGAGGGCAGAGGCGGGAGCTGAGCACCGTTCACGGGTGCTGGAGCGGTGGAGACGGAGGCCTTGCCTTTGCTACGCCAAGAGAAAGGCAGGCGCAAAGTCACAAGCTTCTGTGCCGCTGCCCCAAGGGCAGGATTGGGAGCATGTGCCCCATGGGCTGCCCCCTGCACGAGACGGGCACCTAAGCACCACACTGGGATCTCCTGGGTCAGGGCCCCAGACTGCTGGCAAGCGCTTCAGTTGGCAGCCTGTGTAAGCCCTGGCCAGGGGGCAGGCGCCGGGCTCTGCCCCTCGGCCCGCTTGACCCCGCAGGAATGATCACTAGACTGGGACACTCAGAGCAGAGCCCACCTTCGTGTCCAGACCTCTGCAGGTCCCTGGTGCTGGGTACCCAGGGGTAGGGTAGGATGGGGTGGGGTCCCGCTGGCTCAGGCCAAGGCCATAAGGACACTTCCTGCGGTGCTCTAGTTGCCCTGAGAGCGGCTGGCAAAACAAAAAAAAAAAAAAAAAAAA